GTGTTACCTAGTAATACTCTTCTCTAGTAGTTATAGAAGTATTTATAAGTAGCTAAATTAGTAAATAATAAGTATAATGTTATTACCTTAGATTAGCTAGTTAGTAAGGTTATTAAATTTTATACTATAATAGTCTATATCCTTTAAGTAAAAGAGAAATAAAGTATTAGTAGTTATTATATAAAAAATAAGGTTACTAAGTAGTATAAGTATATTAATTACCCCTAGGGATTTAAAGTAATTACTACTACTAAAGTAAATACTTACTTTATCTACTTAGGTAGTATCTATAGATATTCTTTTACCTAAGTAGTACTAAAAAGTAAAGTATTACTTATAGCTAGTAGTTAATTTCTTAGCTATACTAGTATTAGGTATAATACTATAAAAAGTTACTACTAAATAGTGCTTATTAAGTGTAAATATCTTATTAGTTTTTATAGTTTTACTAGGTAATAGCTTCTTTAGTAGGTTCTTATAGGTAAGCGTATAGGTAGTTACCTAGTTATATAACTTAGAGAATATAGTTAGGCTATTAATTAATAGTTATATAAAGAAGGTAGTAGATATAAAGAACACTATATTTATATTATTATTATTATTATTAATAAGTTATTTATTACTATTACTTACTTCTTAAAGATAACTTATATTATAACTTTTATAGTTAAGAAGAAAGTAGTTTAAGGTAGCTAGTAAAGCTTATATAAAGTAAGTACTTTTATACTAGTTAAATAAAGATTACTACTCTTCTTTAGTATATTTAGTTAACTAATAACTAGGCTTACTATAAATAAAGTACTTCTTAGTTAATTTATTACTACACTAGTTTTTACTATAGTAGTTACTTTATAAAGAACCTTATGTTTACTATAGATTAGTATAATTATTATAGCTACTATTATACTTATAGTTAACCTAAAATTACTTATCCTTTATAGTAGATTTATCTATAAGGTATTATATAAGTAGCTTATAGTAAAGTAAGGTATTTACTACTCTATTATATAGTTATATATAAAGGCTATAGAATATAGCTAGTAGGTTAAAGAGAGCTATAGTATACTTAGGTATACTATAGTAATAGGTAATAAGGTATTTATAATACTCCTTATCCTTAGGTAGACTATTATAGGTAGTTACCTTAACTAGTTTAGTAACCTTTTTAATAAGTAACTTAAGGATCTTAAGCTTATTCTTACTATAGTTTTTATAGGTAATTAAGTTAAATAATATATAGTAAAGCTTAGTAATATAGGCTAAGTATACCTTATTACCTTTAAATTATTCTTTAAGCTTTACTATTAGAGTATTAAAATTACCTACCTATTAGTAAAGGGTAGAAGTATAATACTCTTATAGTTTACCTTAGAGTATTACTTAAATTACTACTCTATAGTAGTCTTATATTATACTTACCTAGATATAAAGGTTATAGAATAATAGTAATTTTAAGTTAATAGTCTTATACTAGCTACTAGTATATTTTATAGCCTAGTTATTAGAGTATATCTTTATAAGGTTACTTATTTACTTTAGTGTTAGCCTTAATATTACTATTAATATTACTATAGTTAATAAGAGCTCCTACTATAGTACAGTAGTTATTATATATAGGCTATTAATTTTAGCTATTATATAGGGTTTTAGTATTAACAAAGGCAGTAGTAAAGTAAAGTTAGGTTATTATAAAAGGTCTAATAAGTAATTACTAGTAATAGGTGTACTTTAGCTAGTTTTTTACTATATAGGATTATATTATAACCTTAGATATTCTTAATAAAGTTAAGGTCTTTAAGGCATAGTTTAAAGTTATATAATAATCTTTTAATAATAGTAATTATCTTATTAGTCTAGTAGGTGTCTTTCTCTTATTAAAGGGTCTTAAATATATATTAGGTAATTAATAAGTATTTACTATAGTTAACCTATATACTATAATTAATAAAGAAGTTATATAGGCTTATTAAGACTTTCTAGTTAATTATCTTAAAGTTATTTATAGACTATTTACTAAAATCCTTATAGGTGTAGTAAAGTAATTTACTACTAATATAGTTATAGTACTTATAACTACTAATATAAAATATAGTAATAGTGTTAAGTATAAGAGCTTATTACTTACTTATAAGGTTAGTTAGTAACTTCTTAATATAGTCTTTTTCTTATTACTATAGGAGGATATACTATATAAGGTTAGTAGGTATAGTAAATATATTATTAATTACTACTACTTGCTGTCTTACGTTAAGTAGTATATTATACTTACTATAAACTTCTTCTTGTTACCTTATAGGCAAAGGTGTAGTAACCTATAAGCCTTACTTACTTATAAGCTTATTATATTTACTTATCTTAGCTTAGGTCTTCTACTTATAAGTATAGTGTTATTTACTGTTGCCCTCTGTTAGCCTAATAACCTCTTAAATATAGGCGTTTCTTCTAGTAGACTAGAAGGCGTATATATTTATTAGAGGGATTACTGCTAGTAGTATAGATAGTTAAGAAAAAATATACTCTTATAGGTAAATAACTTAGAGAAAAACAATAAGCTATTATATTAGTAACTTATTAACACTATTAGTTAGTAAAAGGAGTATATATATAGGAAAAAGAAGTTAGTAAGCTAAAGAGCTTATAATAAATAGGATATAGTAAATAATTACTAGTTAGCTATAGGTATATAAAGTAAGGGGTTTTTTATAGTTAAGAGTGCTTCTCTAAAGGTAATAAAGCTTATATAATAGATATAAATTAATAGGGTTTCTACTAGTTAAAGGGACTAGTTGTAAATCTATTAATTAACCTATTATAATAGGTAATTAGTATAAACTATTATAGTAAAGGTATTTATAGAGGCGTTTTTTAGTACTTGCCTACTTTAGGCATATAAATAATTAACTAGTAATAATTACCTCTTCTTATAGACCTTACTAATCTATAGTTTAGATAGTAAAGTTAACCTTTGTAGTTAATAGTAAAGTTAACTACTAATTAGTATTAATAACACTAAGGGATAAGTTAATATAGTTAACTATATATATTAGTAGTAATTAATAAATAATAGGGGGTAACTATAGTTCTCTATTATATATAAAGAAAAGAAGGATAATTATTATAGGTTAATTAGTTAAATAACTAACTTATTGCCTATAAATCCTTAGAGAATCTATAGCCAAATATCTAAGGATTTACTAGCGATAAGTTATTAGGGTTAACCTAATAATTCTAATATTTATCTGCAATAGTTAATATTGCAACAATTACTTACTTTTACTTACTTTCTATTACTTTAATAAGTAAATTTAACTATATAATATAAAATTAATTAAAACTCTATATTACTTTATTCTTTATTATTATCTTAAATTACCTAGTAGACTAATATAGTATATCTTGTCTTTCTATAATTACTATTATTATATATATAGTTTACTACTTTTTATATAACCCTTTTTCTAAAATATCTCTTTATCTTTAGCTTAAATAACTTCTTTTGTTTTTTATAATATCTTTACTTTAGCTATACTAGGTAACCTTTTAAGATATAGTTAGGTCTTTTTAGCCTTATAGTACTTACTAAGTACCTTTATTATTTTATAAAGTTAATAGCTTTTTATATTAATAATAGTAAATAAATATACTTACTTACTAATACCTTTTAAACTATAAGTTAATTACCTTTTATACTAAAATTAGTAAATTCTTTAATAACTTTTAATTTTTCTTTATAAAGTAAAGCTTTATATACTTTAAAGTATAATTATTAGTGTCTTTAGGTCTTATAAGCCTAAGCTATTTAAGTATAAGTCTACTAGTGTTAGTATCTTTGGCTTAAAACCTAGGTAAAAAGTAATAACTTTAGAATTAAAAGATATAAAACTAGCCTATTAAAAAAATAGTAAATATAAGTATTTTATTTACTAAAGTTAAGAATACTACTTTAAATATAAAAAAACACTATCTTTAGAAATATTAGTAAATATTAAGGCAACGTTGGTCTAATATGTTGTATTCTATTACTAATTATGTAGTCAAGTAATACGTCAATGGATTTCTCAGGGTATCTTATAGACAGAGAAGCTACTAAACAGAATGTAGTTTCCGTCATCAAGTTTGGCTACAGTTTATTACGTTAACACCGTCCAAAACCTTTTACATAGTCTATGCACAGAAACCCCCTATTTTCTAAAAACTAAAAAACCTACTTTCTAGTATATTTACTTATATAAAAAGAATATAATTTTCTAAAAAATATATAAAACTAAGTATACTAGTCTACTACTTATATAAATTTACTTATATTTATAGCTATTTACTTAGATTTAATATCTAAGAATCTAGAAATATAGGCCTAGACACTATAAACGCAATAGGGAAGTTTTTAGTAGTTACATTAGTAGCGTCTAAATTAAAATTCCTAATTTAGACACTACTAATGTAACTACTAAAAAACTTCCCTGTTGTATTTATAGCGTCTAGGCCTATATTTCTAGAATCTTAGATATAATAGTAAGCTTTAATTATTAAATTTTATAAAAAATAGATTATATAGAAAAGGCTATAAAGTATATTATAAGATTATCCTAGATTTATAGCTAATACTTTGAGGCTAGAAGCCCTACTTTTGGATTTTTTGGTTTTTAGAAAATGGGGGGTTTCTGTGCATGGACCATGCAAAAGGTTTTGGACGGTGCCAACGCAACAAACTGTATTGGGAAACTATACCCTCTCGGGCGATTAGGACTCAAGTCTGCAAATGCGTGTCAGCGACGGAACCAACTGCGAGATCAACCTGCTTGGTTTTGCAAGACTGAACGGAGTCCGAGGCAATTCCGCAGCCATACAAATACCATCACCTCACCTGTTCCAATTGCTTCCCCCGTGAGATGGCAACAAAGGCTGCCAGCTGACGGGGAACTACGAGGGACTTGCCTTTGACTCCAAAAGGCATGTCTCGGTACACCGCTCTTGATGTTGTTGGTTAGCCACGTGGACAAATGGCCCGACCCGACCCCAAGATCTGCCAGTCAGATCCACCTGTACGGTCCAAAAAGACCGTACCAGAGGGACCTGTAAGCGTGAAGGCCGCCTTACTGAGCCAACGGCGCCTTTAATGTCGATAGCCTCAAATGAGCCGACTGGGCCGACGATTTGTTACACGCCGACTGGTGAGGCCAGGCGCTACTTGATGACCTCAAGCAGTGGGACAAGGAGGAGGAGAAGGATGAGGAGGAGAAGGATGAGGAGGAGAAGGATGAGGAGGAGAAGGATGAGGAGGAGAAGGATGAGGAGGAGAAGGATGAGGAGGAGAAGGATGAGGAGGAGAAGGATGAGGAGGAGAAGGATGAGGAGGAGAAGGATGAGGAGGAGAAGGATGAGGAGGAGAAGGATGAGGAGGAGAAGGATGAGGAGGAGGACACCGCCTAGTGACAGACAGACCTATCAATCAGCAACAGACAACCTTCTACTAGTCTACAACGAACTTTCTGTAGGTGACTGATGGGCGGGCCTCGTCATTCTCATGTCAACAGCAGCATCAATATACTATTGGCGCCTATTGAACGACATGCATGACGCTGCAGATTCTTGCCAAAAGCCAAACAAATAGGCTCGCGTATTCATGGCTCATCAGTATTCACAGCTCATTAGTATTCACGGTTCATCGATTCATTGGTTCCCGGACTTTCTGTCACTACGGGTTATTCCGCTTCTATTACTTAACGCGATGCAAGCACTTCTGCAGTCCCTTCATTGTAAACGCATTCCACTCCGACTAGCGACTGCTTTCTGCCTACTACGAGTCGATAAGGTGACCCTGCTGCTTTCCCGCGCTCTGTGATTGGATCCCCGACTGCTGCGGCCCCGCGTAAGGCAATGAATGCATCAGCCAACCGATGGGCATTGTCTTGGCCAAAGGACTACATGTTATTATCGTTAATACTGGAATTGGCCTCGGCCTCGGGCTATGTCTATACCATCCTAGCCAACTAGTTCGTTAGCTTCTGGCCTGTCTAGACGGTCCAGGATTTAGCACGCTAAGGTAATCACAGAGGACATTAGGGGACATGGCGTATACTTAAAGTCAATAATAAAGCAAGCATATCTGTTCTAAGATATTTGCTTCCATGTTTTCCTTCGCCTTAGCATCGCTGGTGGAGTTTTGCGAGCTAGAGAATATTTGTTGTTAACAATAGAATTATAGTAAAGTGTAAACAATCAAGTTGAAGACGATTGCGGCGTGGATAAGTGCAATAGCAATGAGTGAGACTAGGACAAGTGAGGCAAACGCCAGTGGGATACCAAGCTAAAAATGAGGCAAATAGAAGTAGGGTCAAGATAAGTAAAATAGAAACAAGTGAGGCGAAGGCGATTGGTGAGATGGAGCTGAAATACCGAGATTCTCCTAAAGGTGATGGCGGTGATTCCCGAGATTTCCGTGTACTCGTCCCTCTATCTGCAGAGCAGAACAACAGCTGGGCCAACTTACTATGCTTACCTGCCAGCTTAATCGGAGTCCCCCGACGCGTTCAGGAGCTGAGATGGGTGCTGACTATATGTAAGACAGGCGGCCATGGAAACGAGGTTGATTTCTGTGACTGTTCTGTAATTAATGCTCAGCTATGCTGTAACTGACTGGCTTGGTGTAAGTAAAGGTGTCGTTTGCAACTGTGCCAAAACCTTGACCAATGACTGATTCATCCTTCTCCTAGCGACTGGCATCTATCAGTAATAATATTGATCCCTGGCTGACCATCTCGAGCCTGTCTAGCTTCACGATTCACGGAGGAGTTTTGCTGCGACGGCGCGGGCTAAGAGGGCAATAGGTTGGTGCTTGTGCTTCTTGACGTGAGCGATTGGTCAGAGGGGACGGTTAGTTGTTTGTTTGACTGATGCATTCTATGCGAGGAGTTGCTGCGGCCGTTGAACGCGCGCGTCGATGGTTAGAGTAGGTGTGGCTGTGGCAGCGATAGTGAAGGAAGAAGGCGGTTCCATAGACTTGATGGACGCGAACGAGGTTTGTGAGCAGCAAAAATAGGCGCAGACGGCGAATTCGCCCTTGGTTCTCGCCGCGGCAAGTGCGGGCATTCCACAATTACGAGTGCCTTACAACAATTGCAGCTCCGACTAATACCAGGCACCTACCTACCTAGCCACCTTACAGTCAGCACCCACCATCATCACTCACATCTCACCTATCACCGTCACTCACTACGGAGTAAATCTTCCACTATTACCTGCCATAATACTGTCTGTAAATCTATGCCCGTATGAAAAGCTCCTGACCAACCGTGGAGAAATATGTCATCATTTTATTTCATCAGACCTACAGCAGAACAGCAGAAACAGCAGAAACAGGTATTAGCGGAGACGCCCGGCTAGTAGTCCTCAAGCTAGATGATCATCTCGTTGGTAAGTCCCAGGTTGGTGCCTGTAGAAACTTCGTCAGCCGCGAGTAGATTGCTGTCATTTGCGGTCGCCACAAATTTCCATCTGCGGGTCTTGATGAGGTGGATTCGGGCGGACAATCCACAAGCGATTTCGTGGTGAGCCTGCTGCTGGAAGCGTTGACCTATATTGTTCCACATGTCGTCGGAAGCGGTAAAGGTGAGTTTACAGGCCTTTCCCTTGCGAACACTTACGCTGGCGATTAGGATCATGGCGATTTGCATGATCGAGAACAGGCCCTTGAGAGACAGGCGCAAGCGAAGCTCGTGGGTGGTGACGTCCTCCGTATTCCAACGGGCGAATAGCTCAGCGATCATCAGGAGCAGAGCGGTGAAATAGCCAATGAGATAGATGTCCATGAATTCCTTGCCTTTGCGCGGAATGATGCCCACGGAGTTGCGCAGGAGCTTGCTTGCGAAATCGCGGACGAGAATGTCAATGTACTTGTTGGTTCGATTGCCCAGCTTGGTGAAAAGCTTTTTCTGGGCAGGCTCGTCGGTGGTGGCCGTAACATCTACGCGCGATCGACGGCGTTTGAGCTTGTTCTTAACCACAGTGTTGGACGGCGAGTCATCTTCGTCCTCTCCTTGCATTATGGTATTCAGCCAATTCACAGCGCTTATAGTCTTTTTGTTGGGATTACCTGTGGTAGCGTCAGCGATTTAACAAACAGGAGAAACAGGAAAACGACCTGTCTAATGTCCAAAACCGAAGAGTCTATCCCGCTAGGCGTAGATTCAGTGGCATATAGACTGCCGAGGGCAGCCTCCGCGGCCTTCTGTTCCAGCGTCTTAGACTCCATTTTGAGGTTATTAAGCTGTTATACTGTTCTGTGTATATATCTGTTGTGGTGGCTGTGACAGCGTTGTGAGACTGTTGAATTGAGAAATCCTCTCGTGTACTGAGCATCATGGCCGCCGGGATCGTGTTGAGAGGACCTGAAGAGGTTGTGGGCCTGTCGCTAACGTAGGCACTGCAGTAGCTTGGCATGGATGAAAAAGAAGGCGTTTAGTCGAGGATTGTTGGACTGAGTAGCCCTATCCGGACAGAGGTCAGCGTAACGTCTTACATCCATGAAAGTGTGTGTTCGTGCGGCCAGATCAAGACTTGGAAAGGCTCGTTAAGATGGGTATAATCGAGGGGGAAAGATGTATGACAGTGGGTCGGGGACATCGGAATCATCTCAGCGACTTGGACGCAGAGGAAGGGGTACTGGTAGACAGACACAGACCGAATTTGGAGAAGGCGGCTGGAGAACGACGGTGTTGCACCTGGTTGAGGTGGATGGGCGAACAATCAGAGATGGGGAAAGCAGTTATCGCTTCTTAATGAACAGAATGAGGTTAGGTCTGGTTCTGTAGCAAAGAGAGGGATGTCATATGGCTTGTAGTAGAACGTAGGCAGCATTAGGCAGTAGGTGTGTTTTCCAAGACAGAACGAAGAGCTGAGTAAGGGTGGCGGGGAGAGAAAAGTGTAAGAAATGCATGGTTGGCTGAGAAACGCAAGGTAAAACAGTAGCGCAAGTAGAAGAGGAAAACAAAACAAGGGAAAGAGGAGGAGAGAAAGAGGAGGAGGAAAAGACTTCATTACTCTGAAAGGAGAGCTTCTTCCTCTGGAAAGAGCAATCCAGCAGGTGGCACCAGTCTCTCAGGCCTGGCGACAATCAATCTCGTGCTATTTCTTTTCTTTCGCATTGTATTGCACCGCCACAGAAGAAACGCCTGAACCACACAATCAGAGGCTGAAAGTACCTCCTAGTAGCTTCTAAATTTGTTGCGTAGCTCTGACTTCTCTGCATGCGCCCTTATGATGCCCCCCTCCCCTCCCTTGTCGCGGTTCCTCGTCATCCCGACCCCAGAAGACGTCTATATTAGCTGGTGTGCTTGCTGTTTGTGTCGTATGACTTCATGAAAGTGGCTTGTGCGAAAGGGGGCAGTTGCTTGGAAAGGAAAGCCAGACAGGAAGGTGGCAGTTTGATGGGGGAAAGAATGGAAGGAAAGGAGCAGCAAAGAGAATCATAGTGGAGATGAGGGCTAGATAGGTACGCAGGGCTGACGTCAACCCCCTTACCCAGGCAGCAGAAGGTACAGTATCTTGAACAGAGTGGCAGGAACACATGACGACAGTTGCGTCTCTTGATCAACATCGCGGCCGGCAGCGTAAGAGAAGCAACAGCGGGATTCTCCCTGACGCGAATTACATGACAAACAGTGCATCTCAGATCGTTCTGTCTATGCCAAACATAAGACCCTGCATCGCAGCCTCGACCTCGACCACATGCCGCCACGCGCGTCGCGCCGAATCGAGTGACACCCTGACGCGATCCTCCCAATTCTCGTCACAGTTCTCAGTGCCAATGTCATCCCTGCCATCCCTGCCATCCACGCCACTGCGACCGTCACCGTTGTTGCTATCGTCATCGTGAGTGTGCTCCACAGCTGCCGCCTCAACCACCAGAGGTGCATCTGTCGCTCCCTCCGTGAGGATCGTAGTCGGTGGTGGCGGCGGCGGTGGTCGGGGACTCTCCTCCTGGGATAGTCTCGGCAGCGATGATGGGAGAGACGACAGCGGGGCTACCAAAGAGACGGATGTGAACGGAGCAGCGCCCGCGACGCTGCGGCCTCGGCATGATGATGAGGCAATGGTGGATGGCGGTGGAGGATGACGCGACGCCCGAGACAAGGACAACGACGACGATGACGACGGCGACGGCGACGAAGGAAAAACGGATCGCTTAGCGGATGCTGGGACGGTCGGAGAAGCCTTGGTCGAAGCGACGCTTTGCGCGGGAGTTGGAAGGGACATGATCTGGGAGGGCTCGAGGTTCAGAACCGCGGCCTTCGGCGTGGGTACCGGTTCCCACAGCCCCGGACCGAGAACGGGACTGGCGTCTTCCGCCGGGACGGGTGAGACCGAGACCGCGGCGGGCATCTGACCCCGATTCTCCCTGGCCAAGCCCCTTGCGGGGTCACTGAACAGGTCTGATGGCGACCTGGGGGGGCATCTGGGATCGACATGAGCTACGTCGACGCAAGAAAAATGAGATCAACGTTGGTGGACCGCCTTTGAACCTTTAGGACTTCTGAATTCAGGCACTTACCGTGTCGAAGTCGAGGGAGTTTGACTCAGGCCCGGGTCAGACGGAAAGCCAAGGGTTTCAAGACCGGATACTAGGCGATCCATTTCCGCCGAACCTAGACCTCCCCTATGGCGCCTTGGCGGCGTTCGCGGCGGCTTTGTCCATTTGCCTATTGCTGTGGACGTGGCAGTGCTCATACGGCGCTGTCTCTATGTGTCTGGAGTCGTTAGCGTCGTCGGGGTTGCCGGTGTTGCTGGCGTGGGATGACTTGGAGTCAAAGGAGGAGAACGGATAAGACCGGGGTCTAAAGATGACAAGACTCAACGTTAGCGATGACTTGTTGATGCCGACACGTTAGAAGACGGGCGAGGGATGAATGAAGCAGGTAAGCTTCATCGGCGGCCCCTGAGACCAACTTACCCCGAGCCACCTTCTCCCACCAGTCCAGTTTTCCCATATCATCCCGCAGCCAGCGCTCGATGGCGCCGACACTGTTGAAACATCTTTCGACCAGCTCCTGGTTGAACCAAAATCCGTTAGCGACACTTCTATCCTCGAGCACAATGCCGTTTACGACGACCCAGCGTTTAGCATAGTGCTTTACCAGGCGATCAAACTGCGGTCCAATAACGCTGGCGAAGTCGTCGCCGTGAATTATGTTGCAGGCGACGCGCACATTAGGCATAAAGCGCCCTTGGAAGTTTAGGTGGTTAACGTAGGGCGGGAGGCATTGGTTTGCTCCGATAGCACAGAGGATTTCGGCGCGGACGCGGACGCACCAAGACACGCCGGCGCGTGGGCCGGCTTGTCGATAGTAATCGATGCTGATGCCGCATACGGTCTGCTCAGACATGAAATGAACATCAGTAAGGATATTCATAGTTTGCGGGGGGGGGGGGGAGGGGCAGAGCGGGCAATCAATCAACCTGGTACGAGTTGTTAGGGCACATGGTTGCTGTGTGCCTCGGACATGGATCAAAGCAGAGATTCAGGATGCCCTCACTTTGGCAACAAATGGAGAAGAAATCGCTGTAAATTGAACTGTCAACGATAAGGAATGACGGGAGTATTAAGCCATATATGCACGGGCGGATCGATTGAGGCACGCTTCTCTCCAAAGGTCATAACCTTGTGTAGAGAGAAGGGAACAAGCCGGATGAATGTTGGGGCAGAACGGACGAACGCCTGGAGATGATGCCCCCCCCGAGGCGGTCAGTAGCCGCGTCTTGTCCAACATGTTCACCGCTGGTGTCTAACGTCTCTAAATTCGGGGGTCTGCAGAGATGATCGAGACATGAACGGGAGGGCCCAAGCGGATGGGCAAGTTTGTGGTGTCCTGCTCCCTGGCAGCATGTTCGCCCAGCCTTCAGTTCACCCAAGAATTCAAGCTGCCGGCACGCCATTCTCATGTGGGTTGGTGTCTTACGGCCCAGGACATGGGGCTGCAAACTGGTGAGTTTGTTTGTTTGATACCGGCATCTTGGAGCCTAATTACACATGACAGAAGTTTCCATGACGAATATTCAACGTCCAGACTGAGACTTCCAATGCAAAAGCTTGAAACCGCGACTCCGCTCTGGTCTTAGCTCTTCTTATGATGGCTGTTTTTTACTGCATCTTGGCCTGTGAATCTTACCACTATGAGCAGCAGGCTTCAGGTCTTATCATGGTAAACACTTGGCATAGTTGGTCACCTCCAGTTCTCTAAGACACTTCTTCATGGACTATGGAGGCAGTCTTAAGATGTTGTTTATGGCAAAGATATGACCAAGGTACTAGAGAAAGAATTGGTCAGGAGGTTGGTATGAGTTTAAAACCCCTGGCCTTGTCCATTATTTCTCAGTGTGATGGACAAAGAAGCCAGAATCTCTCTTGTCACCATCATTATATGGGGCCGCCTTGAGACCTCCCATTTTTGGCTGGTTATTTCTAACTGTCCTGGTTTGAAACTTGCGGCTGGATGGCCCTCTCTGTTATTAGAGTGTGCGGCTCATCCATCTCTATTATTGGACCATCATTACCTGTGAGCCTGGCAGATCCTAATTGCTGGGCCTGTCTCTACATGCCCTCTCTGTTATTAGAGCGTGCGGCTTATCTATCTCTATTATTGGACTATTATTACCTGTGAGCCCGGCAGATCCCAATCGCTAGGCCTGTCTCTACATGGGATTCCACTTTTGGGACTCAGGTTTTGACCCATCTACTGATTGTATTGCTGTTATCAGTGCCTTGTTCGAAAAGTGAAGGTTAGACAGCTACTATTATTTGGCTAGTTGTCACGTTTCAAGACTGCGCTACCCTGTTATCAGGATGAGCTGGTTTTGGGGTGGTTCAGCTGTCGTTGGTGGAACTGCTGCCTGCTATATGACGCCTCTGCGTCTGTCTCCCTGGGCCTTGGGCACTTCTGCCCCAGATAGAGCCCCTACTTCCCGCTGGCTATGTCCATTGTGGGACGACTCCGGCGGACTGAGGAGGAATGGCTCCCATGCAGAGAACATTCTCTGTGGGCGAGCGGTTGGTTGGCCTCTGGTCCTGGAAAGGCGGTACGTTCCCTCACGCGTAACCAGATCTGAGGGGGGGGAGAGGGATGGGGGGAGAGGGATGGAGGCAGATGTCTGAACCAGGCCGCTCAGACCAGGCCAAGCCCACCCTAAATAGGTGACGGACGGGTACCTGCATGTTGGCAAAGGAAAAGAAAAAGGCATCCACCCCCTGTACTTAATACAAGGTCTGTTGGATAGGTAGTCAAAGGGGGATAAATACCAGTGATTTAGACAGACGGTATGCTGCCAACCCAAGCTTGTAGAATACTGGACCATCCAGGGAAACTTTGTATTAATCTATCTAGACGTACACCCGTTGCTGTTGCTCCTCTGGATGAGACCTCGTCGCCCAAGCCCAGACCTCTGACAAGTCCCCGTTCCTGTTAGGCCATGAAACCCGTCAGCAACGAGCGGTTTAATGCCGCTCACCAGCGGGTCCTTAATCAGATTGGGCGCGATGGTAGAGTTGACGACAAACCAGGCGAGCATGAAGCCCGGCAGCATGTGTGGCATCTGCCAAAAACACTTCGACCTGAACCGGCTGGCAACAGGAAGACGCCTCCCAATATGAACCACCGCACACGAGATGGCCAGGGCACTGGTCCACACCTAAGCAGAAACCAGGCCCACAGCAGCCACGAACACTACCTGAGAACACCTCAGGGTAAGAATTACGACAAATCAGGTGAGCATGAAGCCTGGCAGCATGCGTGGCATCCGCCAAAAACACTTTGACCTGAGCTGGCTGGCAGCAGGAAGACGCCTCCCAATACGAACCACCACACGCAAGATGGACAGGGCGCCGGTCCACACCTAAGCAGAAACCAGGCCCACAGCAGCCATGAACACTACCCGAGAACACCACAGGGTAAGGGTCCTACAACGGAGGAGAAGGAGGCAGTGGCAGGTTGTTGGCGTTGGTCCATTCTCCTCGGCATCGCCCGAGCGGTTTTGGCCATGATCTGGACCATCGCACACTGCGCCCTGGTGAAGCCCGTGTGCAGAGTAACAAAGTTCGCGTTTCCCATCTTTGCCGTCTTGGGCCTCTTGGCCCTCGTCGCCGCGTGGGCCATTAACGTGTCCCTCGGTGGCCTCTACGCTCTCTACGTCTGGGCCTGCGACGACCTGGTTCCCGTTAGATTCTTCTTGGTTGACTGGTGCGCTGGCATCAACACGGCGGCCTCTCCTCCTCCTTTCCCAGCGGCTTTGACAACAGTCTTACCTGCCTGGACCCCCCTGACGCCCGCGGAATTGTTCCTGATTCAGAAGCCTGACCGCCATTTCTGTGTCTTTGGCTTCGGCGACCTGCTTGGGGGCATGGCCGCCGAGCAGCGGAAGTACATGACGGACAAACAGCGGGAGTTGTTTGCCGTCATGCGCAGGGCGGGTTCCGTCGTCGGGCGGCTGCAGAAGATTGGACGGAAACAGGCGCGAAATGTGGAGCGCGCCCAGGACAAGATCAAGGGTTTACTGGATGACCCGTTGCCTAACTGTCCTACTCCTCCTCCGCCACTGGCCCGGTTCAGCGCCGTTTGGTTTTGGAGCCTGTTGGACAGGGGGGCGCCGCCCCTATCGGACAGGTACCCGCCTTCAGTGACCCTGGAGGGACTTGCGCGAGAGCTCTCTCGCGTCCTGGACGGGGAGGCAGCGAGCCGAAAGCAATTTGCCAAGTACGTGACGGCTCTGAGCCAGGAGGTGGGGGATGTGGCATCTAGCGTCTGTGGCTGGAACATGGCTCTTGAGGAGAGTATCTCGGACAAGAGACACAGACTCAGTACGGCGCGTCGCAAAGCCAGACCCACATCATCCTCATCCTGGTGGCAACGGGTGACAAAAGGTACTGCTGACGAGGTCCATGTGTTGTTGTGGGAGGACCAGGCCATGGTCATCCGCAACGAGATCGTCATGTGGAGGCGGCGCAAGGCTAAGGCCAATCTGCTATGCAAAACGCTGACCGAGGGAGCAAGCAAGACGGCAAAACTTGTCAAGGCCGTCCAGGACGAGGAGACACATGTCGGTGAGGTGGCACAGGGGGCCGCCGATCTCGTGGCTGAGATCTTGAGCCGCCAGGGGAGTCAGGCAAGCGACGAAGTGCTGCAGCGCTGGATCAAGACGGCAAGAGACCTGGGCGTCAACTACTTGCAGAGTTTCCGGCTGTATTATTCAAAGTGTTAGATTATTTGCGAACTCAGTTTATTGTGGTGCCATGGCAGCTTATATGTCGGTGAGGAGGAGGCCTGGGCGAAATGTCGGTGACATGTCGTTAGTCAGTATCCACCTTACGTAATGACTCGCTTCAAGGTACCATGATCACGTGGCGTAACGTAGAAGACAGATGCCTTGTCATGTATGCCTAAGGCATCCAGGTACATCACATTGCATTAGTGTAGGTACAGGGCACCAGCAGCCCACATCATAGCTTAGACAATACATCCAAGATACAACCCAATATACAAACCCCAAGGTGCATCGCATCGCCTCACAAAAGATGCCTGCTTCGGGGGCGGGAGAATCACTTTCTCCACCTCTGAGGACCCGAAGCAAACGGCCGCAACGCTAAGAATAAGATGGATTCATTCCCCCAGAAACACTTTCATGGTCGAATCGGAACCGCGACCCTTCAGCTCATCCCGCCGCTTTGGCTGCAGTGCTGAGAAGTCTCGCTCCCGTGCGGCATCTCATCTCTCGCCCACGAAAGCTCACATGTCGACGTCCTCTTCCGCTTTCCACCGTTCGTCGTCGTCGTCGTCGTAGTCGTCGCTGTGGCCGCTGGCGCCGCCGCCGCTCGTCACACATGTGCCCAACCAACAGCGTGAAGGTCAGTCGGATATTCTAATGCTCACCAACCCCTCTCTCTCTCTTGTCTCGTCTGTATGCTGACCGAACGTGGGCATCACAAACAGCGCGTCTGCCGCTCCGACATCCAACACCTCCGCAACGCCGGCACCCACATCTCCTTTGCCCCCGGCTGCAAGCGCCGCATGTGGCAGCACGTCATCCGCTTCCAGCTCTCTCCTGCCACCGCCGCCTTCAAGCAGTGGGACTGCATCGCCCGGGAGCTGTACCTCGTCCGCCCGGACGGCTCGTCCTGGGGCGCCGCCTGGGACCTCGTCGTCCTCCGCAAGATTCAGTCCGGCCTGTCTCGCTGTGCCTCGGAAGCCGTCCATCTGGGCCTCGTGCGCGACACGGATGGTGAGCGCGTCTGGGAAGACTGGACCCGAGGTTTCCTGTGCGTCGAGTGGGACGGCAGCTGCTTCGATCCCGAATACGCCCGCACTTTGCTGCAGCAGGCGTCAGACGCCGACGAGGACGAGCGTAGACAGCGTCGCCGTCACGAGGACGAGATCGCTGCACTGGCCGCCCAACTGCGAGAACTGGGCCAAGTTCCCGTCGTCCCGCCGCGTCGGGATGAGGAGGACATGAGCCATCATCATAGCGGGAGCGATGGCAGGGACGTGTCGCTGCCGGACCCTGCCATCGCTCCCGCCGATGAGCCCGCTCGGCGTGACCAAAGAAACATGGCCCAGAACGACAAGGACCAAGACGAGGTTGTACCTGGCGATTCCGTTTCGAGACTGGTAGAACCTTGTGTACCCCGTGGTGCTCGGCCAGGGGGGTCAGCTTCAGTCCCTCGTGCGACGCCTGCGGCTGGAAACGCGGCAGGCTCGGGTCTGGCTTTCAGAGGCCGCCAAGAAAAGGACGCTCTCCCCGCTGCCGATAATGTTGCTCCTACTGCTGCCCGTGATGTCGCTCGTTTCTGGGCTGACAAGTCACTCGCCAAGCTTGAGGGTTGGCTCCGCCAGGGATGGGCTCGGCTGTTCGATCTTCGAGTCCACATGCTCGATGCGCTCTTTGGCTTCTCGCTGGCGGTTGGCGGTAGAGGTTGCGGCAGACAGCCCAACCGCCCTCGCGTCGTCGCCATCCGAGAGGCTCGCGAGAAGCTTCTGGAGGAGATCTTCTTCCTCGAAGACGTCATCCACGACCGTCGGCGGCGGCCATCAGGCCCTAGTCCTCCGCCGTACCCCGGCCGTGGACTGCTGTGCAAGTATTTTCTCGGTGGTGATGGCCTGTCTCCCGCGATGGAGGCGAGGGTTTCAGGGGTACACGGACCGTATCTTTGACTGTCTGCCTGCTTGCCTGCCTGCCTCACTCGGATCGTCCTCAAGTGAGCATCACGATATGTGTGCTTTTGGCTCAAGGTTCGGACGATGCCCTAGAATGGACTCATATGATGGTTGTCGTGGGAGGAATGGGGAGGAAAGTTGGTCTCACGATGTAATTTGATGTGAGTGATGGGCGATGAATGACGATTGACGATGGATCACGATCAACAATGAATGATGGGAAACGATGATTGATAAAAACTGAGCAAAACCCGAAAGTAGAGAATTCTATTAATGATTGATGATTAAATTGTGAGGTGTTTCCTCATGTTGCTTGTCAGCTCCCCCCAAGGGCCCATAAGTCGAGTTTTAAGCATCGTCAATCAAAACAGCTTTCTGTTGAACATCTGATCCTACAGTCTGTTGCGTTAGCAGCGTCCAAAACCTACTTTTCAGTCTATACACTAAAAACACATATATAAATTTTAGCTTAATACTAGCCTATTATAATAAATAATAGTAATACTAGCCTATTATAATAAATAATAGTAATACTAGCTTATTATAATAAATAATAGTAATACTAGCTTATTATAATAGGTAATAGTAACACTAGCCTACTGTAATAGATAATAGTAATGCTAGCCTATTGTAATGGGCTGGCATTGCCGTTATCTATCGCGATGGGCTAGCATCACTGTTATCCATTGCAATAGGCCTGGCCAGGCTAGCATCACTGTTATCTATTGCAGTGGGCTAGCATCACTGTTGTCTATTGTGATAGGCTAGTATTACTGTTATCTATTGCAATGAGCTGGCATCACTGTTGTCTGTCGTAATAGGCTGGTATTACTATTATCTATTGCGATAGGCTGGCATTAAGCCAAAACTCACATATGTGTTTTCAGCGCATAGACTAAAAAGTAGGTTTTGGACGCTGCCAACGCAACAGACTGTAGCTAGCTACATATAGTTCTTGGATGCATCTTATTGTTCCAACCCCTATCTGGCCCCAAAGTCTACAGTTTCTTTCTCATGGCTACTAGTTGTCGCCGCCCACCCCGGGCCTTCTCCTTCTCTCCCTGCGCCAAGCCAAGAACATCCTCAGGTCGTCCTGCGAGAAGGCTCTGGACCCAGAGGAAGAACCCTCGTCGCCAAAGGGCTCCCTCTCTATATCATCGTGCGGCCTCTGGGGCTGGGGTCCAGCCAGGCCATCTGGATAACCCTCGCGGCGTGATCCTGACCTGCGGGCTCGGTTCGGATGATGAAAGTCCATCGGTGGAGGAAGAGGCGTGGGTCGCGGCGGAAGCTGAGAGCACAGCTGAAGTCCCCTAAGTCCTCTCTCGAGTGTCCTCTGTACATCATCGGCCCCGGCCTGAGAGACGACAGGCAGAGGGCGCGACGCTTGTTGCCCCTGCGACGGAAGGCTATTCGGAGGGTCAGCCTGAGTGTCGTCGGCTTGCTGCGGGTGGCGATCGGAAACATGGTGGCTGTCAGGCCCAACGGTCGTGGGTGTCGCTGCAGGGTGTCGATCGAGCTCGGGTCGGTGTTGAGGATCCTCTGGAGGGGCCTGCGAGTCTATGTCGTTGTCCTCGTGCTGCACCGGTGCAGGCGGCTGTGATCTTGCGGGCGGCTTTTGGTGTGGTTTCAGGGCAGGTGTTTGGTCGTCCAGGTCGCTCTTCGGATTCTTCTGCTCAGGTCAGCCAAGAGAAAGACAGCAAGCTCATCAGATGGGGAAGCAAACAAGCAAGCAAGCCAGCCAGCCTAATAGAACAAAGAAGAGGGAGAAAACGAACCATCTCTTTGCTGTGGGTGGTAGGAAAGGCCTTCCATTCTGCACGGTACAACACACCTGCCAGAGACCTGCGGTTGTCCCATTTCTTAGGCCACGCAACCTCTCGGATCGTCTCGTCATCATTGTTGGTTTCTTCTTCGTCGTTGTCGTTGTCGCCGTCGCCATCGCCACCGCCTTGGACAGCAGCTGGAAGCTCATACTCAGGCTGCAGCAACTTGGCGCAGGCGAGATCCTCAGGAGTTATAAGATTTCTGTGAGGGTGTGGAGGGTTGTCGGCGTAGTATAGTCTCTGGATCATGCGGGCATACTGCTCCCAGAGGGCGCGGCCGGAGAGTCTGCCCATCTTCTTGCCCTGGCGGCTCGCTGGGTCGAAGAAAACAGAGGCAGTCGTTCAGTTCAGTGGTTCAGGCCTTTAGGGAGGAAGCGGGAAAGAGAGAGAGAGAGAGAGAGAGAGAGTGGGAGAACCGGGAGGGAGATGAAGTACTTACGTCCTGGGAAGATGACGCGTTCTACGGTCAACTTACCGCGGGCAACGGCATGGTAGGCCATGGTCATTCATCGGATGTGCCGAGTGGAAGGCGTATGGTCCATGGACTTGATAGGAGGACAAGGTCTTCCAAGGTACTAGCTTCGCCTCTGTTCCAGTCGCTTCGCTCTGCCATTAAGAAAGAAAGAAAGAACGAGGGAAAAAGGAGGTCCCATGCAGCGGCCGTTTTACTATCTCAACATGAACCAAGCATCCATACATCCATTCACCTGTGGCCCCACCTCCCCTCCGTCATTGCTCTTCATTCCACCGACACGTCCTGCTCAGTGCTGCCGTCCGATCGACCCCTAGTCCCGTCAGAACGGGCATAAAGGCCTGGTCGTAGGTGGTGCGCAGCTTGCTGTCGATCAAAACGTTGCCAATCTGCGCCCAAACGTCGGTGGCCTGAGGCGCCGGGGGCGGCGGAGGTGGAAGTCGTCGTGGCTCACCGTCGCCATCGTCCCGCAAGTCCCCCTTGTCATGTCCATGCAGCAAGCCGACGGAGGGGCCGTCGTCGTCGTCGTCCAGGGGAGCTCCGTTTGCGTAGTAATTTCCCTCGACGCGGTCCCGCAGCGCCAGCCAGACGTCCGCAACACCCGGATTCCGAACCGCGTCCAAGCCCAAGGCCTCGTACAGCGTTTGGACCTGCGTCGCCGAGCTAAAGGACAGGTAGTCCCGGTATACGTCGCAGATATGGGCAATGGTGTCTGTGAGAACAGGGGGGGGGGGGGGAGAACAGACTTGTCAGAGTTTCCGCCGCAACACGTCTGTGATTTTCCCGACTCTGTGGAGGGGGGAATTTGTACTCACTCTGGTGATCGGGATTGCTGATGATAGGCAGCGGCAAGGATGGACTACGCAGTCGGGCAAGCCAGATTGCAATAGCTACGACGCCGCATACCAGAGCCGCCATAAGAGGGTTTCTCATCATGTTGTTGTTGTTGTTGTTGTTGTCAGTTGTCAGTTGTCTTGTTTGTTTGTTGATGAAATTGTCCCGTTCCCTGCATTCGTATTCTCTGGGATGCGAATGGTGATACGACATGAGAAGAGCGCTGTTGGCGAGTGAGGAGAGGACGGGTGGATGGATGAGAGTGGCTGCCCCAGCCATGTTTTATATTCCCTTTGCCATAACAGTCCAGTTCGCAGTCCACAGACCATCTATTCTTTGGCTTCTGATTGTCAGCTTTGCCGAACCGGATGGGCTGTCTCGGGCGAACCTGGCCTGGAACTCCTCTGAAAACGATTGGGAGACGGATCAAATGAAAGCCGTAATGCAGCTAGCACAAAGGACAAGGAACGGGATGGAGAGAAGACGAGAGCGGATACACGGCCGTCATATCTCACTATGGATACTGGCCGGCCAACTGTTAGTTTCGTCTTTCTTCTCCCCCTTGGTCTAAGATTTGGCTAAAAATGGTGAATCAACTTGCACTATTATCTTGTCACTCAGTGTTGGCAATACAAATAGGTATATCATCTCATCTCTGCTTCGGCCACGACATCAACATTAATAGTCCATCGCTGTATTGACATGTTGCGATTCCTTTGAAATTATCATCATCATCATCATCATCACCATCATCATCACCATCATCATCACCATCATCATCATCATCATCATCATCATCATCATCACCACCATTATCACCATTGTCATCGTTATGGCTTCTAACAACACCTCTACTAAAGAAGCTCCTACTCTCACAGTGGAAGTAGACGACAGGGTTGCCAGCTACATCGCTCAAAAGGACAACCCGACGCCCTCTGAAGCCGCAGTACTGGCTGTCCACCAGTCGAATATGGCCGCCGCCGCCGCCGCCGCCGCCACTACCACCACCACCACTGCCAGACCGGGAGAGGCTAACGCCAGAGGCCCCGGCTCCGGCCCCGGCGCCTGGCCCTCAAGCACTAGCGACGTCGCGTCTCGGCTTGCGAGTTCCGGCTTCACCGACTTAGGGACTGACACCCGCTGGTCGACTTTGGAGCCTGCAGTACGTGATAGGTTGGAGAGGAATATGCTGCTTTTTGAAGACCAGTGGCGTGAAAATCCATTCAGATTTGGGCACCAGCAGGAGAAGGAGGACCTCCAGAGTTTCCATCGTCCTCTGCACCGTCACTATGAACAACAACAACAACAAAACCAACAGCAGCAGTATACTGCACAGGACAATCAGTTTGGGCTGCCTCCGCCTTTCTCCATCCAACCTCAAGGACAGCATCGGCATCGGCAGACGGCGGCGGCGACATTGCGGACACGTCAAGGCGATCAAACCAACGGAGCCTCGTGTTCCACCACCCAGGCGAGGGTCAAGGAGCTTCCGGCCTCTCAGCGCAAGCATCTCTTGGCTGCCGTCTAGATTGATCACCAGCTGCGCGAAATCTGGCTGGAACAGCAGGCTTCTTCTGATGGCAACAAGGTGGACGGGGCGTAGGGGCGATTGAGGGATTTGCTAAATGTGGAACCATTGTTGTTGTTGTTGTTGTTGTTGTTGTACACAGGGGGTTATATTTGTTTTTGTTTGTCCAAGTTCTGTTTGTTTGTTTGCTCAAATCTCGGATGTTTGACCGGAAACGGAAGAAGGGAGGAAGGGGAGGAGGTATATTGTAATAGACTTACTCATCAATTATATTCTTTTTGCCAGATTACAGGGTCTTTGGAACCCCCCACCACGAGGCTTTGTAGAGATCATGACAGTCTATAATACGACCCCTGGTGCAATGTTCAGCAGAGACTCCAGATCCTGGTTGTCCTTGGCCTTAAGTGGGCGCAATGAGTCCCCGCCTGACCACCACGCCATCCAGTTCACTGTATTATTGCCCTGTAGCGTTGACAAGGGCGTGGACGAGACATGCGAGCGACAAGACCAAGACGCAGAAGAAGAGAGAAGGCGAGAGCAAGAGCAAGAGCAACGACGACGACTAAGACACAACGACGACCAAGGCCTCAACCTTTGCTTCTACGACGACTGGGTTCCTACGAAAGGCAACCTTGAGCTCTATTTCTCCTCCGAGGGAATCCAGACGTCTCTTGCAGGCCAGTAACCACCGCCGCATGAAGAAGACGCGCGCGTGCTGACGCTTGAGTGCAACAGAATTATGTTCCTAACTGATACCTCCTTCTCCTTCTCCCTCTTCTTGCACTTCTGATTACGCACATGGGTCCTTGTCGGTGTAGGTCTCTACTTGGCCGGCATCACGCTTGTCACAGTGGCTGTAGAGACATATATATACTTTGACTGGTCGGTGCTGCTATTGATGGAGCCAAGATGGAGGGAGATACCCCTCTCGGCGGAGCTGGGCTGTGTTGCGCTCCTGTATAGCGACGTGGCGTCGTCTCTTGTCGACCTGACTGAGTCAGCTGCCTCGCTGCTCTCTGACCTAAGGGATAACATGGTGCCTCTGTGTCGTCACGCCAGCGTGCTCACGCACAGCATTGAGTCTGTGTGTGGCGAGTATAACACGGTGCTGGCGAATGCCGTTGGAACCCTTGCCGCATTGCAGATCCATGCGTCTTTGTGGAACGCAGCCGGCGCCATGGACGGCTCCCGGGTGGAGGGGCTGCTCTTGTGCTGGAATGAGATGGAACGATAGGGGGGGGAGGAGGAGGAGGACAACGACAACGGGGATAAATATGCGACAGGCGGCGTATTGTCGTGTGTCACGGAGCTGCTCTGACGGTGGGGGGATATAGACAGCGCTGGATTGCTGTCACCGGCAGTGGAAGAAGCGGGTAGGATGGAGGGTCCGCTGCGCGACATGAGGGCATGGCAAGACTGGATCGTTGAGCCGTTTGAGGAGTTCCTCCGTTCTGCTTCAAGCGCGACGGCGACAGGGACTCAAGGGGCGAAAAAGAAGGTTGTGCCACAAATCGTGTCAGCGCTGGTCTCTGCCGTGAGGAACGAGTCAGACCCCGAGTTTGACAGGCTAATGGGGAGGATCGCCCCGTGGCGGGAGGCGATGGAATTGGCTGGGGCAGAACGGGCTTTACTAGAGGCAGAACTCTCGGTTCTAGCGGGCGCGGGGTGGGTGACATGGCCGGGGGGACACGCCGTGCTGTGGAGGCTCCTGGCCATGGACCGGATGGTGTGGGATCTAGAGGGAACGATCAAGGCGCTGGAGAGGAGGAAAAAGGGGAGAGAGGGTCGACAACTGGATGCTGCCTCGGGCAATCGTTGAGAGCCGTCTGTCAAAAGACGACTCCAACAACCTTGTAGGGACACTGGAGGGATTCGTATGTACCTTGGACTGGCGCAGCTTGCGAGACTTGACGCAGCGCAATCATCTCAAGCTTAAGCTTAGTCTATCAAGCTCAAACTTAGTCTATGATGGCGTTTCCACCCATGGGCGATAGTGTGTTGTGACGTGGGTTGTTGTGGTTGTGGTTGTTGATTGAAACTGTTGTTGGTCATGGCAGACGGCAGGTCGCGATCGATTCGGTCGACTGGCACTTTTCTTCCTTCAGGGGACATATTCTCGTTCGAGGACGCGGGTAGGTAAGAGGGCAGAGAGCCATTTGGACGTTAATGAAACCTGTGATAGTAATTAGCAACGTAGGTTGTGGAGGATGGGTAGATGGATTAATTGACCAGGAAAAAAGGACAGCAATAGCGCTGACTTGTTGCAAGATGACGAATACTGTGGATAGCGGATAGCTAGCTATAGGCACCTAGGTAGGTATGGATGGATGGTTATAGACTTAGGAAGAAGTGGCTGTTGCTTCTTGGCTGGCTTGACGTCGTTGGGGAACATGACGATGACAACGGCAGCCACGTCCTTGAAGGTCTGGCCGAGGGCGCAGGTCCGTTTGCCCTGGATGTAATGTGGACAGTACTGCTGGGGCATGTAGTAGGCCCCGCAGATGGACCCTCTCTTGAAGACGACGGAACGCGTCAGCTGGTTCGTGATAGTGATCACCGACTGGCCTTCGGAGGAACAGAGGGCGGTCTTGCATCTGCTGAGGTAATGGCTGGACGGATCAAGGCCTTGGCTGACGACGGAACAGAAGGCGTAGTGCGACTTGTTGTAGATGGACTTCAGCCAGTCGTGGAGGGCGTTAGAGACGAACACGTTGGCTTGGCGGATTGATTGACTAGGAAAAATGGACAAGAACAGCGCTAACTTGTTGCAAGATGACGAATACCGTGGATAGTGGATAGCTAGCTATAGGTATGGAGGTAGGTATGGATGGATGATTATGGACTTGGGAAGAAGTGGCTGTTGCTTCTCCTGGCTGCTTTAAGGGAAGTACGGGTCCGACGCGACGCGACGCGACGCGACGGAAACCAGCCACAGATGGCGGGGTCAACTCACTCAGCCACCCCTACTATCGCTTGTGTATAGCATACAGTAATTCTGGGCGGTTCTTAGGTAATTAATTTGCTATGGTGTTGGGATGTTGATGGATTTGTCGTTGCATCTAGCTGGCCCTTGGTTCAGGTCCAGTGGGCGCAGAAGGCTTCCAGGCTCTACCTAGCCATCTTGCCACTTTGGGGATTTGAGCGCCTGCAAGAGCTTGCCTATCTGGCAGACGTCTTTTGTTGGCATTGGCTACGCTTGGCAGTTCAAGAAACTGTGGTATATTAATTAGCATGGGCGGAGTATTGAGAAGACGAAAAGACGGGACTGAAGCATGGGTATGGAACGTACTGGTGGTGTATGCGGGAGCGCTGTCGGTGGAGCGCCCTGTTCTCTGTTCCAGAGATGGTTGCGATAAGGTTGGTATTAAGAAGCTGACATAGGAAAAGAATAAAAAGGTCTGGCTGCCTGAGCAAGTAGTAATGGGATGGACCTACGGTAGAAAAGAAGAGGACGTGTTGGAGCCATTGTTTGGTGTCTTTGGATTGAGACATTTGATTTGTTGCGTTGGCGATTCTATGTGTTTTCGTACTGCTATGAAGCATGACATGCATATATTTGTCTAGACAGCTTAATCGAAACTTGAGAGTAAGTGTCCGTCGTAGTAATGCGTCCTTGTCGTTGTCAGCAAGTCTGTCCTGCCCTGCCTGGAGAGGCTCCATCTTTGGTGTCTTTTGCTATTAGTGAGCTTCTAGCTTGGTCTAATCCTGGTACAGCCTGCTGACGTTTGTCTCTGCCGGAGTAGCCCATGTTAGTATTTGCCTATGTCCTACTGCGAGTTAATAGGCATGCAGCCCTTGCCAAGGGGGGGCTTTGCTCTGGGGACATTTGTACAGCGAATTATTGGACAATAGAGTAAGCTTGCCTGGGACAGCCATTGGGTAGACGAGGAAGAGAGAGCAGTGAGAGATTATGTGTTCATGTGTCTGGATTTTGCTTTCTGGTATGTGCACAAGAGAGAGAAAGAGCGAGTTAATCGAAACAGACGATTCATGCCACCCATTATTGTTTCGGTGTCTGTGCCGTTTAGGAGTCGCACAACTTGACGCCTATACAGTCTGTTGCATTGGCAGCGTCTAAAACCTACTTTTTAGTCTATGCGTTAGCAACACTATTATAATAACTACCCTAGTTAGGGTTACACAGGGGGGTTACCCTACTAAGTGGCTATATACCTTTAAATTATTTTATATTATATAGATACTATAGTATAAATAGCTTTAATTAATAAGCTTATTACTGTTACTATTTAATAATAGTACTAAAGAAGAAGGGAGATACTACTTCTAGTAGTATAAAGGTATTACTAGTGCTACTAGCTAATAGCACTTAAGCCTATAAGGCTACCTATAAAAGATTATTATTATATATAGTTATTAAGTGCCTTATAGTAATAGTAATAAGGTTAATAATAGTTATTAAGATACTATAAAAGCTAGTAGTTACTATAGTAGTAATAAAGAAATTAATAATAACCTTTAAGATACTAAGAAAGTTAGTAAAAGTAACTATTAATAAAGAAAAAGTTAATAATAATAATAATAATAATAATAATAATAATAGTAATAGTAATAAGCTTACTAATAATAATAAAAAGCCTATATAATAAGTACTTTTTACTTTTAACCTCTTTAAAATACTATTATAAACTTTATTATTATTATAGTAGTAATAAAGGGTAGCTACTACTATAGCTACTTTTTTACTACTACTACTACTAACTAAGGTTATAATTTATTTTACTTTTAGCCTTTAGTTTAATAGTATTACTATACTATAAGTCTAGCCTTTTTAAATAGTATAATAGTTAATAAGTTAAATATTAGTAAGTATAATAATTAAGTTAAAGTAAAAGAAGTAAATCTTAAAAAAGATAAAAAAGTACTTTTAAAGGTAACTTAGTAAGTAATACTTACTATTAAAGTTATAAATAACTATTAAGTTTAGTAAAAAAAGAAAAACTATAAGGGTAAAGAATAATACTTACTATAGTAATATTATAGTTAGTAATCTAATAGTAGGGTTTCTACTAAGAATAAGCTAGGGTTAATACTTAGTTAATAGTAAGGTAGGTTTACTAGTCTATTAATTACTTAGTAATTAGTTAAGTAGTTAATAGTTATAAAGGTAGCTTATATAGCTCTTGTTAATTAAATTACTAAGGTTAAATACTAAAAGTTATTTAAATAAATTATATTATAAGAAGTTAATTACTAAAGAGCTATAAAAGTCTATCCTTAAGTATATCTAAGTCTATCCTATATATAAGTCCTAATTCTATTACTAAGCGCTATCTTATATACCTTCTAAGCGCTTATAAATAAGTAGGCTAAGCGCTTATATATTAATCTTTTAAGCGCTTATACTAAGCTTTTATCTCCTGCTTAGTTCTTTATTATTATATAACTTATACTATAGTTCTTCTAGGTCTAAGGGGCTATCCTAGTCTAATCTATTATTAGTTCTATATAAATACTATACTACCTACTAGTTATCTTGTCTAGTAAGGCAATATTACCTATAACTTATTAGGTTATAACATTAGGTCTTCCCTCTAAAGGTCTTACCCTTAAGACCTATATAAGTAGGTTATTACTCCTAGGTTAAGGAGTTATTAATTCTACTTCCTAATTACCTATAATACTAACACTATATTAGTTATATAGAAAAATTAAAATTAAAATTATAAATGCCTAGAGCTTCTTCTTGTTATTATTTATTTTAAACCTTATAGTTCTTTACTAAGGGTATTAAAATTATACCTTGTTTAAATTATTATTCTAAGGGAATATTACCTTATTCTTCTAATTCTAAGATATATAGAATATATTATTAAGCTAGTATTCCTTATAATACTACTTCTAATATAATATATTATTATAAGTTTCTTTTTATCTTTTTTTAGTGTAATAACTAATCTTATATTTTTAGTAAGTTATTTAGTTTAGACACCTAGTGTCTTAATAAGAAGAGGTTAAAAAGGAAAGCGTTTTTATAAAAGAGCAGCGTTATTATATAAAAAGGCTAAGGCTTTCTAGAAAGCTTAGTCTAAATTAAATAAGTTATTAGTAAAGTTAAGTGTCTTTATATATAGAAGCGTTAGGTGTTTACTAAGGTAAAGGTGTAATAAAGGAGTTCCCTAAGGGGGATTCCTCTAAGCTCTCTATAGTGTTAAAGCTTATCTTTTAGTGCTTTTAGGGTAGTTAATACTAGCTTTTTCTTCCTAGGTTCTAAATACTCCTAGTTTCTTGTCTAGTAGAGGTTCTTAGTAGTATTCTAGTTAAAGGTAATCCTATAGTTAATATTACTAAGGTAGCTATTTAACTTTTCTTAATACTTTACTAAGTTTTTTATTAGTTCTTATATATTTTCTTTTTACTATAGTTTTTTATTTAACTAAGTACTATACTTTACCTTATTTAATTTTATAGGTAATAATTTATTTAACTTTATATTCTAGTTTATTTAATTTAATAATAATATAGTTATTAGTGTTTAATCCTTATAGTACTAGTTTAAGTAGTATAATATAAAAGACTAGGTGTATTTTTATTATTTCTAGTAAGTTAAGTTTATAGTTAACTAGTAAGATTTTTTAAGAATTTTAAAGGGTCTAAGTTTTTTATAATTAAGTTTATTACTTAGTTGCTTAGTTTTAATATTTTAGTAGATAAGATATATACTATCTCCCTCTTTAAAGGTTAGTCCCTTAATCTTTTTCTAGTTAGTGTATTTTATTATTTATTATCTAATAAATTCTAGGTCTCTTAAGGCTAATTCTTAAGTTCTTAAATCTTATTAAAGTTAGCTATAGCTTTTAGTGCCTATAGTCCTTATTGTAGTTCTCTATATACTGTTAGTTAAAATCTATAGTTTAAGTAAATAGTAAGTTTAGAGTGCTTTCTCTAATAGTACTATTATAGTAAATTAGGCTATAGGCAGTAATAGTACTTAATTATCTTAGTTATAGTTAATATAATATTATAGATATTATTTAAGTATTTAGTTAATTCTTTTTATTTAACTATTAGTTTATAAATAAAATAAGGTTAATAGCTTATAATTAGCTCTTAGTTATAAAATTAAGGATTTCTAAAACTTAGATATAAATAACTTTCTTTGTTAATATAATTTCCTTTAGTAATCTATAGTTACTAATAATATATTTTAAAAAGGTATACACTAGATCCTCTATAGTACTTAACTCTAGGTATAGAATAAAGTAGGTGTACTTTATAAGTCTATTAATAATAACTAATACACTATTATAGTAGGTTTTTATAAGTAGTTCTTTTAACTTTAGGAGTTTAATAATAAAGTCTAAAGAGATAAGTACTATACTTCTAGTAGTACTAGTAGTAGTTATATTTACCTATATAGCTTATAAGGACTATTCTTACTTTTCTTATATATCTTATAGTCCTTAATTACTAAAGCTACTTCTTTATATATAACTTATTATTATAGTGTTATTAAATTCTTTTAAATATCTTTATAACTCCTTAGTGTTATATACCTTAGCACTATATATTTATAGATCTAGTTAGCTATTATTCTACTAGTTATACTAGTATTAATATATCTACTAATTATAATAAGTTTCTAGGCTAGTATATATTACTATTATTATTATACTTAAGATAACTTATTTTCTTCTAGTACTAGTACTTTATAGTCTAGTCTTTTGCTTAAAGTGTCTACTCTTCTATTTTCTATTCTTTATAGTAAAT